CTGATTAGCTTTGCAACATTTCCGCTTTGTTATTTGAGATGAAATGGTGACAGGTCACATATACAAGTTATGCCAGGTTGGGAAGCGCATTTTTTTTTTTAATTCTTATACATATAGCACCAATAGAGCAGCATGACAAAACATTCCCAAGAAATCTACTAAGAGTTAATTACATTCGAAGTAACATCTACGGCGCCGTACACGATGTAGAGCGATCTGCATACTGTATATATTCACTTGTCGCGACTTGTCATCCACAATCAACCTCCCAAAAGCACTGACAGTGCTACATAAGTGTACCACCAAATCACTCCACCTTAAATTCAGACTGGTAATCGGACGCCTCACCCTTTAAACTCATCTTGTAGGTCAATTAATACCAAATGAACAAGTAAATCATGCTAAGACACTTTTGAGACTAGCAGTTTTCAATGCGGGTACGGTCGGGGCCGAGCAGTAATTAGTAAATAGGTTGGTAGGTGAGATGGTTACTGTTGATCGGTATGGTGTTATTGCGAGAGGCGGTAACGTGGAGTATGGCGTGTGCTGTCGAGTACATAATTCGCGTTCGGTTCTAGCTGGATGAAAGTGTTTTACATAACATGAGATAGATGAGTGAACTAAATGGGGCGATTTGATGGCATCAGGGAAAACAGGAGTCGGATTAGTTTATTCGTAGGGTTTACGACGCGCATTGCTTTGATTCTTCCACTTTTTCATGTTTCGTCGATGATAAGCGTAAGTTTCAGAGTAACATATGCATTTGAAATGTTTTTTGTAGAACGCATTAAAAAATGCAAATCTAACTGGTGAAAGGGTAAGATTATTGATACGGTTAACTAAGGGGATATATTATCCGGTTATCTTTATTTTAAGACTTTGATTTTAGCTAGCAAAAAAGACTTTGCTTTAAAGTATGATTTTTGCAATTTAACATTGGAGAAAATTCCTAGAATTCTCACCACATCTTATATGTAGTATACTAGCAGCGCTGAGGAAGTGGTTGTCAAGATTGGCATGGAGGAAGTTCAATAACTTTGCATAAATATTGACCTAGGCAGTTTGTTTTTGTTTCCAATGTAGTCGAGCAACACAAACTTTAGGGAGTTAATAGTGGTTATTTCGTAATATTTCAGGAAGTATTTACTATACTAGGATGAGGTATGTATCAGCGTATATGTTGGCAGCGATGGGATCCAAATATCATGTAACGGCGAATGATATCGAAAATATTCTCGGTTCTGTAGGTGTCGATTGCGAACATGATAAAGCTGAAGAACTAATTAAGAAAATGAAAGGAAAAACTTTGGATGAACTGATAACTGAAGGATCAAAGTATCTCACATCAGTATCAACAGCTTTGCCATGTATCGGTATCTCTCCTGTTGATAATTATTTGTGCAGTAAGCCCATATTTTGGATCAGGTGTTTTTCGGTCCAAACAATAGCTGTATTCTTTTTGAAACCTGGTAGAGAGATTTGATGAGATTTCTTCAAATTCGTATTGAAAAGGAGCATATATATTTATTTATGAATTAACTTGGATATCAGTTAAATGTCCCAGTCTCGTTGCGGACAGGAAAGGAATTTACTGTTCATAAAATGGTATTGCTCGATACTGCTTGTAGAATAGTATTACTCGATATTGCTCATGGAATTTTTAGTTTTTATATAATTGAGAAGATCTTCAAACGTCCAATTTTTCCAAATAATTCCTTTTTTATGCTTTTTCAAATTTCTTTTTAAGGAGTTTGAATCGTAATAGAGAAAATTCTGGTTTAGTATCGTTTTTTTTTGCAGGTTGCCTGAATATAATTAACTAGATTTTTAACTGCGTTTTATTTCTAAAGACTTCAATAGCATTATATTTTGATTTCATTTATATTATTTTATCAGGTGTTGCACCCGTTTCTACTGCTGCTGCTTCCTCTACCGATACTAAAGATGTTGCCACAGCTTTACCCGTGGAGAAGGAAAAGAAAGAAAAAGAGGAAGAGTCTGATGAAGATATGGGTTTCGGGCTTTTCGATTGATTTCTTTCCGTTATCTTTTTGTTATATAAAAAATTGTTGATTGATGAAGAAAAAAAATATTAAGAACTATTTCTGTGGCTTGCAACAAGGTATCATATTTAACAATTTTAATGACCAGATAGAACTGGTTTCGCTGAGAATGTAGTATTAGTATCTGTTTGTACCACAGGTAATTACTGAATTTGTGATTCATGAATGTAAATTTGTCACTAAGATATATCAATTTTATCAGCTACCATGCATAACTAGAATTTCTGGGTAGGAAGAAAGTAACCATTTCGTAGCACTTAATGTGACGAAGTTGTACTATTTTGTTTTGATATGGTCGAGTTCAACTCAAATGAACAACTGTAAGAACGTTTGAGTTTATGGGTATTGGATGAAGTCCAAGTATGAACTTGAGTCGAACCTGTTTGGTGTGAACAAAGGACGAAAGTGCGGTGTAAATGGATGGAGATGTAACACTGTAGTTTAAAATTGGGGGTGAATACGGTGATGATGATTTCTATTGTAGTGTTCTTGATTAATAATTATTTCGTGAATTTATCTAAACGTGTGCCCACTTTAATTTTGGGAACTCTTCATCTCAAATTTGAGGAAATTTATGGACGAGTGTCGGAAATCATCTCCAAATTGCTTTGTAACCAAAATGGCTATGAGTGTGGTGGTTGATTAGTGTGAAGTATGTTGGTATGTAAATTCCTGCTGCGTAAATTGGTAGCATGGTAAATGATTCGTATCTGGCTGGCATTCTAATGAAAAAGGAATGGTGAGAGATGTGGTTGTTGACGATAATAGTGCTGTGATTTAGGAGATCATGTTGTCTCTTACATTAATCCATGTCGTTTTGTTTATTATCTGTTGGTTTGTTGCTTTATTTGATGGAATGCTTAAGAAATATGCAGATTATCGGTGGATTGATAGAAGTATGGAATAACAGAGTTAGCGGGAAATGGGAGGATGCAGTAATGACTATGCTAAGGCGGCGAGCAGCGATCGCCGTCACCATCAGCAATGTCGGTAAAGAATTAGTGAAGAATGGAGGAAAAAAGATTTGGGAGGGAGCTAGCAAGATCGTCGCTCTCAAGAGGGAGAGCGTCGCTGGTTAATAGGAGGAGGGGGCCCAGGGCTACTTGGCTAGGGCTTGTGCTGCCACCGTCGCTTTGGTTTGAAGGGAAAAGAATGCTGGCGGATGAGGAAAGAGGTGTCTGAATGAGTCCTGGATAGCACAGATAAGCTAGCTAGCTGAAAGCAAGCTTGGCACGAGGTATGAACGCAGACTTGCAGCACAACAACAACAGCAGTTGAAGGAAGACAGAGGAGAAGGGAGCTTCTGTTACTTCAACATACTTTAAGGGAATATTATAGACATGCTATTCCACCGAGAGTGGAATCGAGTTTTTACGCGTTGGTGAGGATAGCTTATCTTGTTAGCTGTGTACTAGAAGTGCTGCTGTTACTACAACTACTGCTGTTGCTGCGGTCTTCATTGCTGCTACTACTTCTGATCGTGTTCCTTTACAAATCAATAGCCAAGGGGGGGAAGTTTGCTTTACATTGTCGGGTAAGCTCGTTGATGGAAGAAACTGTTCCTCGAGAACAAATGAACTAGTCCCTTCTACATGTCGGGTAAGAGTATCTCATTTAACTCATTATTACCACCTAATTCATTATTTTCTTACATGTAATATTACATATCTTCACTGGTATCAATATTGATGCCGCCCGTCGTTAATTTCATCTCTCAGTGCTCGCACTCGCAACAAAATAGAATACTGCTCCTTAATTTACTTATTCCGTATCGATGGGTACTTGTTAACTAACCTGTATGGCTTAATTAGAATCTAATCCTCGTTTGCTACAAATCAATCCATCTTTTTTGCACTTTCGTTTTTTGAACTACATGTAGAAGGCACACTTTAAAAATTCATATACCTTCGATTTCTTCTTTTTTTTCTGTATAATTGGCAAATGAGATCGGGATATAAACTGGTATAGCAATCATTACATTATTATCCGGAAATCTGCCAGGTTTCAAATCATTTCTTAATTTATATCTTAGAATTTGCTCAATAAGCCACACTTTTATTCAACATCTCTTTTCTTATTCATCTATTGCATAAATTAACCTTCCTAACATTAGCAATTAAAAGTTCATTTCACGACTATTTTTAGGTTCGTTTTTTTGTTTCATTGAAAAATGACTGCGAATTTTGAGCTTTGAATTTTTGACTTTAAATAAATTGTGATTGCTTTTTCCTAAATTTCTAGATATTAATATTTTCAGACTTCTATTATCCTTAATCTGTTTTGGAATCTTGCTGTAGAAATTCAGAATTTTACTATTCAGAGGTATGTGACTGGCAAAAGCTAGGAAATCAGTACTATCATTAGTATATCCTTATCTCGTAACCGTTTCAAATCATAGAAATATAGAGGAATGTGATTTTTCACTTTGTCAAAAGGTCAAATGCTTTTGTCGTATTAATAGGAAACTGTTAATCCCTCTTTATCAAGTAAAAGCATAGCATCCACCAATATCGATATTACAACGATCGGATTGAAATAAATTATAGATATTGATTTTCCTCAAGCCTTACATATATATAGAAAATATAGGGAAAACGTATTTTTTTAATACAGAAGGGACCTCATTCGATTTCAGGTTTTATTGAGCTGTTTTTCATTATTTTTTAATTTTCATTCGAATGAGTTTAGGACATTAAATTTCTCTCTTCGAATTATAATGATGAAAAAAATCTCAAAGCTGCAGTAATTGCAATATTTTTTAAAAAGTGGAAGACAAAAGGAGGAGAAAGTAGGTTATAATATTTAATTAGAATTTTCATTCAACGAAAGCAGTGTTAAAAAAGACAACTCAGTATAGAACAGAATTTCCGGTAATTAGGAAGTTTATGATTCCTGTCAACTTAACTAGACATCCTCCTCCTCAAGGGAATTCAATGATTCAATCTCCCTTCCTGTGTCCTCCTGCCCTCATACATTATTTGAAAAGCATACTTCAATGTTTTTTCTTTTTTATAACTTCATGTGAAAAAAAGATTTTTGGATTAAAGCCTGCTTGTTAGACCTTTCCTAATTTTGCTTTATTTAAGTCTGGTTTACTATTAGCTTTGATAAACTCTTCTTCATTTTTCTTTTTGTTCTCTATATCTTCCATATAAAGTTTCTTTTTTCATTCTCTCTTCAACGATCATTGTTCATTTGCATCCGGCATTAACAATTGACTAATATTTTATGCCAAGCATTTTAGTAATTTCTATTATCAGTAGGGATGAAGCACTTATAATTAGAGAAAAATTGAGAAGGAAGTTGATAGCCAAATAAATAGCTCCTCAACTGGCTGAATCTAATTTCATCGAAAGATTTGCATTCTAAAAATTGTGTGAGCTGAGGTCATGTATAAAATGATTTCCTTTGCATCTCCATTGTTTTATGTTAGATATTGTTACAAACTTTTGAAATGCATGATTAAAAAAGAAGGGAAATTCAGGAAGACTGGAGAAGTAGTTCTGAATGAAAATTTAGGATGCAGGATACATCGTTTAATTATTAAAAAAAATTTTGTCTAATTTGCTCGAAATCAATTCTTAACTGAAACTTTTAGGATATTTCGAACAGAAACTTCTAGGATATTCCAAAAATCATCATTCACTATGATAACAAAAAAATATCTGATTAGAAGAAAAAATTCTTGTTTGCATTCCGTTTGCTGCATATCCATTTCTCCATATTCCAGACGTGCTAATTTTCTAATAAAAAAATACACTTAGGTTCAGCTTGGAAGAAAAAAAGAAATAAAATTCCTCCTGAAAAAAAATGCTGATTTTGATACTATCAATGATTATCAAAAAGCTTTTTTTCCAGCAATATGCATTATCCTTCCAAGGATCTTTCACTTCATCTCGGTTTTTTGAAAATTGTTAAATTTGATCAGATTCTTTCATAGCAGTTATATTGCTAAAATCTTTTGTTCTCTCTCTCTACCATATATTGAGATCAACATAACACATGATGGTTAATTGAGCATTTCAAAATTAAAAGAGTATCCTCTTTTTGTAGCATTTCAGCTAAAAATTATTTTACTATTAAATGGAGAGAGAGAGAGAGAGAG